TCGAAAACACCCCAACCGGAGGCAGGCTGCTTTGATTGATGCTGATGGTACATGTGGCCGGTCTTTGATCTGCATTCCGTCGGCTTTTGCCCGCCCTTCTGTTTCACTATCTCGTCCACTTAATCTCACATGGCCACATACACACCGACAGCTGGACACCCGTGCAAACACATGCTCGAATGCAAAAGCACACCCACACTCTCAATACACACACACATACACACACACACAAATTGCTGCAAAAGAGGACATACTGGTCGAGGGGATTCTCATTCTGCCTCCTGCATCGACTGGGACCCTATTATTATCGTGTGGTCCCAATCTCGCCGGCACCCATTTCGGTAGACATCGACAGTCGTATGGCCAGCCACGTTGGCACACACGCAAAAAAACACATGCTTGCATACATGATGATAAGGTTTCGTCGTATTCTAGGTCTTCTCTTCCGAAGCATGCACGTGTATTCGGCTCATTTTGACAATACTTCCGCTGGCCGAAGCCCACCTGGGCGAGGCTCGAATGCCGGTTGTTTCACACTCGTGGACGTAGCCTCTACAACGGCATTTGTCACATCTTCGTATGAAGTTCAACACACTTCTGGCTCTCTTCTGGTGCACAATGGACGAAAAGCAACCGGGGCCTCAGCATCACATCTGCTCGGAAGAGGATGCGCCTATTCGATGTCCGGCCATCCCAACGACTCGGACCATACCGCGAGAATCGGCTGAGCAGAGGCCAAATTGTATGATTCGCATCATATACAGACAATCGTTCAATTGGGAATAAGAGTTGTAGTCATGCTGTTTCATCAAATGTGATTAAGAATTGATGGTTACACTATGAGTAAGTCTTAGCTTTCCATTCAATTTCACACGGTCCTGTTTCCCAAAAGATGTCATCCTCACGACTCAACGGGACTGCAGCCGGTCTCATCTGCCCCCCGGCGGGACTCGAACCCGGATTGACATGCAGAACACTACATCCGACTGCCAGAGCGCCTGTGGGCAACTGAAATCGAAATGTCAAAAAGCGTGATGTCAATTTCACACTTGCTTTATGGCCCAAAGACACACGTGGCAATGTGGCCGAGTGGTCAAAGTCTCACGATCATGGGCTGCATCCCGCTGGGGTGTTGATGGGACCAGTCTAAGCGAGGGCGAAGCTGAAGTCCATTCCTGCCTGAATGAGAATACCTTTTGGGTAACATTTCTGTGTGAAATTGAATGGAAACGCCAGCTCGATTCATCAGATTGTGGGAAAATTCATCTTCTACCAGTCCTTCATCACCTTAAACGAAATCGGGTGAATACATCTCATATGAAAGATAATTAACCAATCCACACTCTATCTATCTATCTATCCATCTATCT